AATTTCTCCTTTTTCTCTTACACCATTTACTTCATTAGAGTGAGTTCGAGTGGGGAGGGGAAGTGAGGGGGGGGGGGGGGGGGGGGGTGAGGGGTTGATGAATGAAATGATCCTCGGTACACTCTTGCCAATACATTGTATAATAAGTTAGTCTTCATTTCCTTAAGGTTGTTCTTAACGTTATCGTTCCATATTTTCCGTGGTTTTCTTCTTGATCTGTGTCCATTGTATGTCTTCAGCGGGCAACACATATTGATCTGGCCATGGCAAGACATGACTGACTGACTGACTTTCTACCCCACCAGGACATCACACAAGCGATAAACACCCGATGACACAAAGTGCCACCATGCGGATGAGGATCGCCGTGGAGAGGTCCCAGAAACCGCGTTCAGACATTTGGCCATATGTATGGCCTGCCTATATTGCGGCCCCTGGCAAAAGCCAGAGTGAGGCTTCAAATAAGAAAAAATTACGTCCTGAAGATGACGTAAGTAAGGAATACTATGGCAAGACATCATCTTTAACACTAGTTAACATTACACATCTCACCAAACGAAAACAGTTCAAGCCAGTACACCTGGGCTATTTTACCAAATACATTTTTTTACATTGCTAATGTAGTATTGTCAGAGGACGATGTTATATCAAAATTGCCATTAGATTGAAAGAAAAAAAATCACACATTAAAATAAATTAGCTGTAAATTCTTTAAATGAAGTCGCTAAACAGCGCCACCTTGCATTACAGTGGAATTTGTTGTTTCACTAGGTAGTTAAACAGGGTTCTTTCCCCTCTTCTTCTCTTGAAGTGTTGAAATTCATGTCCTATCCTCAACTTTCTGTAACATGTACTTACAATAAATTGTGACTGATGTTCTCCCATGCCATAATGTTAAACTGCCCAGATATTTTTCAGTCGGTCTTCTCATAATCGTCGGCTCTGTGGCTAAGTCGATGCGAACGCTTCGTAATGCCGGGTTTGATCCCAGCTGCGGGCCATGCGCCTTGCGCTGGTTTCGACAGTGGTATCAAGAAAGCCGACCGTCCAGAAGCAATGGCAAACTACTGGACGTAAATGTGCCTAGAAAAACTACACAACAGCCAGGGGCTGTTGGGGTTGGTTCTGCAACGTCCTGTAAAGGATACGTAACTAACCTTCTTCTAATCTTCCTTCACCCTGTCTCCCCCATTCTGTTACACTTACAAGATCTGCTATAATTTTTCTCTTGGATCTACTAGAATGTTTCTCCTCGGGACATGACCAAAACAATTAGAATGTTTCCTTGCTTTATGTTTAATAGAACAGAAAACAATACACTGTCAAACACAGCACTTTTATTATAAATTAAGCAGCCTTAATAACAAATATAACAGCATCACACACAAAACAAGTATTATGAAAAATTCAGCATTTGTAATATTCATGAAAAACGTTACCGGAAGTAAAGATAATTTTTATCAAATACAGACAACACATCTTACTTTCTATATAAAAACATAGTTGGAGAATAAATAGTGTTAAATGTTCATGAAAATAAAGCAGTCTTCCTCAACAAAACAATAATCAGCTTTGTTTAAAAATATAACATATTAAAAATAAACAAATAAACACAAAACATGATTTCTATCACACACAAAACTAAAATAACCTCTTTGTCATCAACATGCACACATCTGGTTCATCTAAAATATAAAGTTATAATCTAGCCACTTGAATAGGGTCGTCCGTTAGTTTTTCATTAAATATTAAATCAATATATATATTTATGTGTGTGTGTGTGTGTGTGTCGACTCAAAGAGTTATATGTGTTTTATAAAAAAAAATTAGCTGCTTATACTCTTCAGGCTGCAATACGATTCTAGCAGTTGTTAGCTGTAATGTGGTTTTAGTAGATACTTTGGTCATGTTCACAATTTTTTGTTTTGTTTTAAACGGATTATCGCAATATACCCTGATCATAGAAGCTGAAGTTTCTTCACTAAAAATGGGTCACTATATAATTGCTCATTTGTGTGTCACTGAAAAACGCACAAAATGCCTTCCCTACCCCAAATGTAAACTGGCAAACAAATAAATTAATCCCGGCAAAATCGCAAAATGAATAAATAAATAAATGGTATGACATTCTTCAGTTGAGGTTTTTTTTGTTAAAAAAAAAAAAAAAACATCACGGATCTTTCAAATTATTTGCAGGGACGCCCAGATGGTTATTTCGTTATTTTAATCTGGGCTCGGGGCGGTTGAAGGGGGGGGGGGGGGGCGGGGGGGGTTGTTTAAGGGCGTTTTAATCTCTAATTGACCTCGCTCTTTGAAGATCATGGGTTCTGATTATGGACCGCATCGTTCTGTTCATGGTGATCGTTGCAGGAATTACTATGTTTGTGCTTGGTGTGGCAGGATGGCGCCATTCTGCACAGAGACATTTGGATTAAATCTGGTCCAGTGAAGTTTATCCTTTAAATCTGAAACCTTTTAATGAGCTTTAATTAGATTAACTTGTTACATTTAATAATTTAAGTAAATGACCATTTTCAACGCCTTTCAGGCGTAATTGGGTATATAAGGCTAGACCTATGTTTTATAGACCAAACGGCACTTGGTGGGTGATGTGATCAGCATCACGCCAGCCGCCTTTACTTCCCAGGACTGCACATGGTACTCACTCAAGGCTGGGTTGACCTGGAAGCCAAGGTCGTTTTTGAAAAAAGTCCGGGTTCTGTCATGGACTCAACCCACGACCTTCCGATCCGCAGGCGAGCGTCTAGCCGCTAGAGCACGGCGGCTGCTGATATAAATTAATTGATATATGTAAATGATATTGAGCTGTATAAAGATTGTAGTGATATCTGAGTTGGGGTGTGCGATAGGGGTGAAATGTTATCTGGTGTGTTGAGCAGATTGAGCATCTATCTACCCCATTTACTTATTGCCGAAAAACAGTTTTAAAAATAAAATTTATTGTGAAAGACAATCTGTTGAAAGTGATTCTGTAAGGGGCCGCGTTAGCGCAGTCGATAAGAGGCTCGCTTTCAAATCCAGCTACGACTCGCTGCAGCCCACGGTCGGTATTTTAAACCGGGCTGCTTCCGGGGTTCACCCAGCCTCTAGGAAATGGGTACCAGAGTTGACACTCTGGGGTAAATGGAGGAACGTCGCTGTAGCTACAGAGTTACGTGCGAACGGCGACACAGGCGGACAATTCTTATCAGCTGCCCGTAATGGTGGCAGAGCACTTATGGTTTATAACCGTGTGCAACGACGCTGGTTCACATCTCCCGACTTTACCTTTACCTTTTATCCTGTCGAAATAGTGTTTACCTCTTGTCACATTTATCTAAGCCAGCGTTGGTGTCTTTCAAAATGTACTACTGGAAAATAACCACAGGCATGCTGCTAGAGCAGCAGTGGTCAAACTATGGCCTGTGGTCAAATCTTTACTAGCGACACTAGGTAATCTGACCACTGTGTTGACACAAAAAACGTGAAACACAAATACATACCTTTATATGCGGAAGGAAACAGGAATTCGCATATAAAAATCGAAAAACATCTGATAACCTAAATAGTGATACCCAGAAACTGAGGTCATCAAATATCTGACCCTGTTTGTGAAACAGAAACACCTGTTGCGGGGAAACTCAGAAATTAGAGACAGTGTTGTCGACGAAACTCAGATAGTAGAGACAGTGTTGTAGACGAAACGCAGATAGTAGAGACAGTGTTGGTCGACGAAACTCAGATAGTAGAGACAGTGTTGGTCGACAAAACTCAGATAGTAGAGACAGTGTTGTCGGCGAAATCGGATAATAAAACATAAGGTGACGACCGTTCCTTTTCTTTGAACTAACACAGTTAGGAATATTTAGAAGAACTGGGTGAATGTGTCTGGCCAGAGACGTGGTGAAGGTTTGGAATCTTAGATTAACCCACCAAATATTATGTTATAGATGTTATGTTTATAGTGTTTTTCCGCCTTCTATATGGCCCGCAACCAGCTTGGGAAATATTTATTTGACCCCCGGAAAAGTTGCCCACCTCTATACTAGAGACATTGATCCTGAAGATTACTTTAATTTATGAGTCTTCTAATGTAACCATCAAACCACCACACGCAACGTATAACTAGGTCAAGCTGAATACTTTGATGGCAGATAGGTCGCTACACATGGACAGACTCATTCTGCAGGGAGTGAACAGACGGTCTGGAGGATACTGAGGAATGTTCAGTGGAAATGAGGGCCAGATTTGTTTTGTATTGCAGATTACCATTGGCACAACCAGTATAAAAACATCGTGTCTTCCACGCTAAGGATGAATTGTGGATAGTAGCCAGTAAGCGACATCAATTTTTGATTCATCGATTCATTAACGATTCATTCATCATTCTTGGTCTCACATGTTTTCCTGTTTACTGATCGGTAGGTCTTGAATCTGACTGTCCCCCCCCCCCCCCCCCTTTTTTTTTACCCCTATTTTGTTTGTTTGTTACAATTACAATTAAAGAAAAAGGGAGAACTTAAAGGGTTGCAGAATGTAATTATGAAAGTTAATATAAATCTGTCGGCTGACCCACTGTATGGCACCCGTGGCAGAAGGTAGCCACTCTGCATAGAGACAGCGAGACATATACGAACATTTGGTCAAGTCTAGTGGTGGATACGTTCAATTTTGAACCTTCCAATCAAATTATCAGCTATTTATTTATCCGGTGGAACTCAGTTTCTGGGAGTGATCCAAAAACGTACCGATTATATTGATGCATTGGCAAATGGAAGAGCCAACATTATATTACATTTGCAGGACATATGTTTGATAACAAACTACATTACTGATATTATTGTATCATAGGCAAACACATTACAAGTTATCTGTCATATTCCTGTCATGAGTAAAAATGTATAAAAGTATAATCAGGTCCATTATTCTAATGTACAAAACAAACAATAATTTATATAAGTTCCTAAAACAGAAATATCAGCCGTCGTCATACCATGGACACTTTCTGACATCTTGGACTCGTGTGTGTTGTAGTTTTATGATGGTCATTATTTAATTCATGTCTGTCTTCCATAAGGAGACGGTCGGTGGTGTTGCATCCGGTGGGAGCTGACACGTACCGCACTTCCACGTGATCGTGGTCTGCTGGGGCGCGATCTGACCGGAACTTCCGCCGATGGTAAAATCCACAGATGAGCAAGATGATGCAGAAGAACGATGAGATGGAAGTGCCTATTGCAATATGGAGGATCTGGATACCAGAAGTTCTAGAACCTGCAGGAAGACAACAACTAGATAAATACCTCCAGCATTAATTCTCGAAATCTTTCTGTCATTAGCTTTTGCCATTGAAGGTCGATTGGGGCGCTGAACAGGGTTTTTAACCAGGCTGTGATATTTTCGCCTTTTGTTCCAGCACATAAGATTTCAGCAAACATAAAACAAGTCGCCTTCAGTGACATGATGGTTAAGAGGTTACGAATCTTTCTTTACAGTCACTTCAACAGGCCCCAGAATCCACACTGGAATTCTCTATAACTAAAACATGCCACAAGAAATAAAAATATTAACGTGGACAATGAATGAACAATGCGAAATAAAAATGAATCTCTTACAAATCTGATTTCAGAGACAAAGAACAGGACTATGTATGATAGCGGGGCGGGGGAGGGGTGGTGGAATTCTTCTTCGCCCTCATCTGTTGTTGAGCCAGTTGGTTTCTGTAATAGGGTCTTATAAAGATACATTTATCTGTTAAACGATGTACTGGGCAGAGAATCACAAAAAAAGACAGCTAGAGAAAAGGTCATGTTTTATGTGAGAGAACATCCATAAAAAGTCATATTCGTCAGCATAAGCAGCATCATTACTGTTGTGATATAACATGTCACATGGGCTCGCAGTCTATTCCCACATTGTGTTCTATACATAGGGCTCGAAGTCTATTCCCACATTCTGTTCTATACATAGGGCTCGCAGTCTATTCGCACATTCTGTTCTACACATAGGGCTCGCAGTCTATTCACACATTCTGTTCTACACATAGGGCTCGCAGTCTATTTCCCCATTCTGTTCTACACATAGGGCTTGCAGTCTATTCACACATTCTGTTCTACACATAGGGCTCGCAGTCTATTCCCACATTCTGTTCTACACATAGGGCTCGCAGTCTATTCACACATTCTGTTCTACACATAGGGCTCGCAGTCTATTCACATATTCTGTTCTACACATAGGGCTCGCAGTCTATTCACACATTCTGTTCTACACATAGGGCTCGCAGTCTATTCACACATTCTGTTCTACACGTATGGCTCGCAGTCTTTTCACACATTCTGTTCTTCCTGTGCAGTCCCTTCGAATCCAGTCTAGTAACTTTGGCCTTTCTCATCAACGTTAATTTCCGGATTTTTTTTCTGGGCGTCCTGGCTTCCTAAACGCCTTTCTTTCCCATTGTAGTGCCTGTTTGCTGATACTCTGTTCGTTTCTTCCCAGTGTGTCTCCAGTATACAACAAAATCTGAACTGGAAGAAATTTTCAGTGTATACACAAATAATACTACAAGAACGTTTAAAGCATACAGCATTTAATGCTAGAATATTTTTTTTAAGAAAGCGACATGCAGCCGATAGTACGGTTAACATTACGCTGTCCGCCTTTACTTTCCAGAACATTTTCTTGTGCCCATGTTAGGCTGGGTCGCCCTAAGAGCCTAACACAAGTTGACAACCAAAATTCGTGCGAATCTGAACTCAAGACCATTGGGCTGTCAGGCAATGGTCCAGCTATATCAGGTACCGTGGCTTCAGTTGTTTAGTTGCCCTAAATAATTTGTCTTGCCCTAAAGATAAGGAGGATGAATAAATAAATTAGATGAATTAACATAATGTGTGACCTACATTCAGCAGTCTCGTCAGAATCATCTCCCTTGCCACAGTTGGGCTCATTATTGCACTTGAGTGTTGAAGAGATGCAGTATTTGTTGACTACACAGCGGAACCCGGAACACTCCACGCCTGGAAAACAAACTGTCCTTAAAGACTAACATATTCATATCTACCTAACAATTGGAGAGGAAATAATTATATATTCCTAACCATCCGGTTCATACAATATAGATCAATATTTTTAAACATATTTGTAAACATAGCTAGACATCGTGTCGTGATCTGATTTGCAAAGGGTCATTTTCGTATCAGAACCTGTATACATAGGACTGAATGTTACTAAGTAACAGTGACACCAACGCAACTGTTATTAGACGCAAGGGATGTTTTTTTGGAGACTACTCCTGTTTGATTCTCATCAAGACGATGTTAATCTTACAGTCTGCAATATTGGGGAAAAAAGTGGGTGTGGGGGGTGGGGGGAGACTACGATGTCTCGTAGTCACTGGCACAGACTCCGCACCAGCCACCCAAAGCAGCAGGTTACGCCCTGGGATTCCTTGATCCAGTTGTTAAGGTAAATCAACTAGAACGTATTGAGGTTGAAAGAGGTGTTTGCCCTAGCCCTGATGTATTGTCTTCAAGAATGCGACACTCTTAACTGGCAGTTGTATCAAACCTGCAGGTAGCAGATCGTCGGGGGGGGGGGGGGGGGGAGGGCGCAGTCAGTCAGTCAGTCAGTCAGTCAGTCAGGCACTTGTCAGGTAGTCAGCAGTTAAAATAAATAGCGTGAAATGCTTCATAAACTACACTAGGAGGAGACAAAATAATAAAGTTACATATGTACAGAGACACTATATGTTGTCATAGTTAACACGTGTTGATGTTATCGTCCTCCTACTCTTCTTCCTTATTATCATATGTAGTTTCCGAAGGCAGTAAGTGTTTGAAAATAACAGAAGAGACACGATTAAGTAAAGAAAACCCCTCCTCAATCAAGTGTGTGTCCTCTGCACATTTTGATGGTAATTCAGCAAGCAACACTTCAGAGGTCCAGGGTAGTTAGCATCCTTTGGATATTTTCTTCAGGTGATGCCGGTGTGTTGGGAAATGAGCAGGCAGATAGACTGGCTGGTTCTGCACCACTTGGTGGTGAACTGATGTATGGCAAGTTAGATATTGTGAGGGCCCTTTTGGAGCGAGTGAGCAGTGCGGAGACGCAGATAGACCATAACGGTCTAAGGAGAATAGTGCTGCGAGTTGTTACCTGTGGATCTGGCCAGCGCTCAACACTCAGGGGAAAGGATGAGAAGGATGTACACTGAGACGGTTACTGGTAACATTAAAATTGGAACTCTTCGCTTGCTGCTGAAGACGGGGACTGAGCACTAAAGGGAGTGTGCCGAGTGCTATGATGTTGATTCTTAGTTCAACATTCAACATTATAATGGTAATTCAGTGGCGATTTCCAGTCTCTATAAACGAGAGTGTTATCTTGTGATTAAAGAAGACCAAGTGAGTATGACTAACAACACTCAAACGCGTTCAGAAAAATCATTCACAATAAAAGCATGGCATTTTTAATGACCATTGCTGCCATCTCAGTGGTTCTGAAACCTCAAGGATATAAATACAACGATCTAATAAGACGCACTGAAACTAATGTATGCACTATTTTACACAACAGTTGGGAACCGTCAGAGTCAGTCAGCCAGCAGCGTATCCCTTGCAAAACCTTGCTCTCATAACAACCCTCCGGTAAACGTCTCGATCACAAGAAAGATGTGCCGCGTCCAGTAGAACCATCTAGAGATCATCTGCCATATCCTGCTCTAATCTTCTCTTTGGTCTTTCTCTACCTCTCTTCCCAGGCATATACCTCTCTATTGTTGTTCTCTCCAAACTTTCGGGACGTTTCAAGTGACCAAAATATTTCAATTTTCTGCGTTTTATCGTCTTTAATAGCCAACCATCTTCAGTATTCAGTTCTTGATGTACAGATGCATTTGTTCTTCTCTTTACCCATGATATTCTTAGAACCCGTCTATAAAATGTTACTCAAAGGCATTTATGCGCTGTTCAGCTTGTTTAGTAAATGTCCAGGTCTCACAGGCGTATGTTGCAATGGGAAAGATGCATGCTCTTAGAATATAATTTTTATTTTTCTGTCTATCCCATTTCATAATTTATTCAGTTGTTTTAGTCTTTGGAGAGCAATTGATAGTCGTCATTTAATTTCTTGCATTGTTTTACCATTTCCATGGCCATTATGGTTTCTTGATAAGTTTTGTAGAAGGAGTTTGCCATTGCTTTCCTTCTGGACTGTGACTGTACTAGTCTGTGGCTATAGCTTTTGTCTCTAATGATAAGATCCTCCCTCTGTCTATCGCCGCAGAGTGCAGGACCATAACCAACAACATTCTGTCGGTTGCACTCTCACTTCAACAGAGTATATATATATATATATATATATATATATATATATATATATATATATATATATATATATATATATATATATATATACATACATATATATATATATAGACACATACATACATATATACCTACATACATACATAATATCTACACATATATAATATGTGAGGTGAGCAATTAAAACTGTAGGACACCTGGAACAGTCAACATAAATTCAGACTAATACACTTGGTACCAAACGTGGAATAGTGAACGCTCGTGTCAAGTCAGTTCGGTTTTAGAAGCAGAAACATAGATAACACACGCAGAATTACTGATAACTATAAACTGTCATTAACTGATGCCTGCGCGGAACAGAAGCGACAAATTTGTGGTACAGTCATAACCATTCAGCTCTGGCAGATAATTAGACATAAATTGCGTGAGTTACTGGTTAAGATTAAATGGGCTGACACTGAATAGGACCTAGATTGTGTCAACCTGATAGTAGTAAATCTAGACAGCTCTTGCATTGGAGTTTATAGGACTAAAGTAACCAATAGAAAGACAAACAAATGGGGACACAAATTAATGACTGATAGCCCCATGTGGGCAGCGGAGCCACATCTAAAGGGAAACAAGAATACCCAGTTTAACCCCTTTTAAGCATGTCGCAAAGGCGACTAATTAAGGATTTGCTGATACCCAATGTTGGTCGAAATGGGCAGATACTGCAGCAATAAAATAATTTAATTTTATAGGCGAACATTAAAAAAAGAATAAGACGTATATACAAAGATAAAAATAAACAGTACAAGGACATGAGTGATTCCACGAGATGGCAAACATGAAAAGACCTTGTGTAAGCAGGTTCTGAGTCCATACTTCATTGTAGGAAAATGGGCACAAAGAAAAGATTGGGTGCCAGATCTACTTTCTCACCAATTATCAGTCGGCTTTTGTGTTGATGGGAGCCACCTTCGTGTAGAGGCTAGACGGTCGTCTGCGGGCCCGAACGTCATGGGTTTGTATCTGAACGGAACTTGACTGTTTTCCTAACAAAACCTTGGCTCCCAGGTCGACCCAGGTTTGAGTGGGTACCAGGTAAAGTCCTGGAAAGAAAAGGCAGCTGACGAGATGTTGACCACTTCATCCATTAGGTGCTGAATGGTGTATAGAATATATGTATAGCCCTATACGACCAATACGCCTGGGCAAGGATAAACATCCTACTTACTTACATACGTTTTAGCGCTGGGTAGGAGAAAGGCTCTCTGATCATGATATGACCGCATGGCTAATGTAGTCGCCACGAACTGTGCATGCTAAGATTTGTTTTCTGCCCGCACCAGCAACAACAAAATCCATCACCTTATTGAGGATTCGAACGATGGCAGTGACGTTGCGTGACCAGTGCAAATATGTACGGGTTAGCAGGTAACAATCACACTGAAGAGGGTATTACATTGGGTTTTTTCCCCCTCGCTACACTGAGTATGCGTGTGCAGCGTGCATTGTAGTAGTAGTTAAGTGGTAGCTTTCACAGGTTACAGTTTTTGAGCAGGTAGAGTAATCATACAGCGAGCGTTCTTTTCCCCATGTTAGAGAATTAACCCGAGTGGTATATTTGTGAAAAAATAGTAAATATTAATAATAAATAGTAATACATTTTTGTTTATTACCTTGGCAATGGAAAGTGTAAGCGACGACCACTTGCCACAGAACCAGGGTCTTCGGAATCAAAGCGCAGCGCTCCAAACTGCTTTAGAGTGAAGATAAGGTCCTTGTTTACGGCTTTTAGCATAATGGGGATATAGAGCTACACCTATATTTGTATAGACCAATCGGCGCTCGATGAATGATGTGACAGCATCATGCTTGTCGCCTTTACCTCCCACTACTGCACCTGGTACCCACTCAAGGCTTGGTCGACCTGGGAGTCAGGGTCATTTAAAAAAAAAAGTCTGGCTCCATTAGGAAGCGAACCCACTACCTTCCACTCCGCAGTCGGGCGTCTAGCCGCCAACGCCACGGCCACTCCCTTCCAGACAGCTTGGCAAGCTGTTAAACCTTAGTATGTAGAATTATCTAAACGCTATATATATATATATATATATATATATATATATATATATATATGAGTCGCTGTGGCGGAGCGACTAGACGCTCGCCGCGGATCGGAAGGTCGTGGGGTCGCTCCCAAGCGGAACCGGACTTTTTTCAAAAATGACCTTGGCCCCCCCCCCCCCTATCGACCCAGCAGTGAGTGGGTACCGGGTGCAGTCCCGGGAAGTAAAGGCGGCCGGCGTGATGCTGACCACATCACATCACCCATCTTGTGGCGATTGGTCTAGCCCTATATGCCCTATACGCCAAACGGCGTGTAAAAGGGTCCTTTACTTTTTTGAACTTATATATATATATATATATATATATATATATATATATATATATATATATATATATATATATATATATATATATATTTATATATACATATGATATCGACACAGTGACGAACACACACATAGACAAACATAAAGATAACAGACCGGAATGCTCACTTGGGGCTGGCCCTTGGTACACTTCTGTCCACGATAATTTAAAACCGTTAGCACCGAGAGATGATGGTGATGATAAAAATCTGTGGGGGAAACAGCGATACATCAAACTAGCAAACATACAAGAAATATCTACATTGGTATATCCGGCTAGACTTAAAATGTTTAGTCCAATCAGCAATAGGCCGCCTCTTCCTTCCAGTACCATACCTGGTATCCATTTAAGACCTGGGAGCCAGGTCAATTTTTTTTAAATAGTCCGCGTCCGTTAGAATTTGAACCCAGTATGAAGGCGAGCATCTAGCTACTACACCACTTTGGCTCCCAATATTGACATTACACTTGAATAACTCGAACGTAAGAAATATCTACATAAGCGTACCAGTTTATCAAATCTTCTTCTTCTTCTTCTTTCGTTCGCCTGAAATAAGTTGTCTATATCAGCAGTTTTGTCTCTTGTATAAATTTCACTGTCGTTGTACAGATGGGTCCGCAGAAAGTGCAGTAAGAAATGGTGGTGCTGGAGTGTACATCGATTTCCCAGATGGTACTAGGGATAAGTCCAGCGTACCAACCGGGAAGTACTGCCATAACTATGAAGCAGAAACTCAAGTTATCAAGATAGCAACAGAGAAACTGCTAAATACCAATCTTGGCTCACAGTATGTGGTAATGCTGACAGATGCTAAATCAGTTTCTCAAATACAATAAATATCTACATAAACATATAATTAACTCAAGTGAAAGAAATAAATACACCAATAAGTTGATTACAGGAAATATGTTTACGTCAAACGTCTTTGTAACTCATGACTCGTTTGTTCGTTTAGGTTGCCGGTTCTTTGCATAAAGTCCCTCTCATCGTGGTATGTCGGATCCCACTGTTTTTTTTTTTTTTTTTTGATTGTTTTTTGTTTTGTTCTGATCAATTTTCATGCCTCGTCAATTTTCATGCCTAGGTTATCCTTTACATCCTTTGACAGCTTCACCTTGGTCAACCGCTGCCTCTTCTCCCATGAACCAGTACATCCCTGTTTTTGGTCAAATAAAATACAGCCGAAATATCAATGACTTGAATACAAGAAATATCGAAACAAACATATCTTTTTGAATACAAAGAGGAAATTCCCCGTGTGGTTTTTGGGACACCATTGTGGGGGAAAACAGGAATACGCCCGCTGCTTTCGACCAAGCATGTCGTAAGATTCGACACATTGGGTGCTTCCTTCGACGTCAGAGTGCATCTGTCTGAGAGGCAAGGAATCAACGGTCTGCATACAAATAAGACTAATCTGTAAAACGGATGTGCATGCACCACTCAAGTTTTGGAACAAGACTAAAGACAGGTGGAAGACAACAATCAGAACTTTCTGCTGGTGAATGCGAAGAAGAAGAAGAAGAAATGTATGCCTTTCTCAGTGTCTCGCAACATTACTCACAACTTTATGTTATCTGATCAATGTAAACATAGTGACGGTTTGAAACAAAAAATTTATATACGTAAACCTCGGTAACATAAATTCGATAAGGACTGACAATTAAAGAAACTATATATATATATATATATATATATATATATATATATATATATATATATATATATATATATATATATATATATATATATATACTTATATATATATAAAAATCAATGTTTGTGTGTTTGTTTGCCCCTTTATAGACTCGGAAACTACTGAACCGATTTAGCTGAAATTTTCAGGATATGTTTGTTTTGATACCGGATGTTGAACCATCATGGTTTGAAATTCAACCTGTCACTGTTAGAGATAGGTAACCACAATTTAAGCCATATTATTCGAAACTAATATTTATAATTCTAGTGATTTCTAATTATAGCCACGTTAGTAATTGCGCATGCGCCGTGCAGCCAACACCTCCTCTAATACATAGAGTAGGTCGTGGTACAGAAAACAAGACTATATCTATATCTGTGCAGGCAGTGATTGGAAAAATAACTAAATTAGACACGATTTCTATTTTCTGTTTTTTTTTTTTTTCAAACATCCTTCGATGAGTTGAAAAGTAGCCAATGGATTGGTAGGGAAAAAGAGGGGGTGTGGCATCAGGGACAATCTCGACGTCTGCGCAGGCATTGACTGCGACATTTACCGTGTTAGACACGTGCGATTTCTTTTGTTGTGCCGTTTCATTAATATATTTGGAATATCTGTCTATGAGAAAACAATTGCCTCCTGTTTTGAGTTGTGTTACACTGCAGAGGGACACACATCTAAAATAGTTATGTTCTTCTTTCGTTATTTCGATCGAGTGGTTGCTTGGTCGAATGGTTAGAACACTCGGCTCTTGAGAGGGAGACCAGGGTTTGAATCCGCAGTAGTTTTTTTTTTTTTTTTTTTTTTACTAAGGGCCAAAATAAAATCATCACCTGCACTGTCGTGGCGACAGCACTAGCCATATGGCCCTTAAGGATATATATTTAAAAAAAAAAAAAAACAAGAACAGGTTTGTGAGTAAACCAGTTGATAATTAAATTTGACCATTTCACATATTTATGATTTCATTTTAAACTTTTCGATTGCATGGTTACGCTGAAATTTCATAGCTTTTCATTTATTTTCATTTAGATTTAATTATTTCATCTGCGTTGGAATTTTAAACTGTGTTGTTTAGCGTTCATTTCCTAATTCTGGTGTATTTTTCCTGTTGTAATTGGTTTTCAATTGGGTTTTTTCCTCTCTCAACTACTTCGATGAGGAAAAGAGTAGTCGGTGAATTGGGAGAGGGGGGGGGGGGGGGGGGGGCAAACTGATTACTGAGAGAGCTTTAAGTCACAGTAACTGCTTTACCCACTTAAAGTAGCAGCAGCAGTAGTAGTTGTGGTTGGGCTGTTACACCGTAGTGCTCTCATGTGAAGACCGCCGGTAAGGTTATGGCGTTCTTCTGTCGGGAAGCGAAATTATACATCCTAACCTGACCAGTCTGTGGCGACAGCACTAGCAATGCGGAACAAAATCTTCTGGCTCACTACTCTCTGTCTACTCCGATGGTAACACAGATAGCAGTGACATTATTTTAGCTACTGTGGTGGTGGTCGTGGTAGTAGTTGTACTGGTACTTGAAGCATGATATGGTAAATATTACACTAGCCCCATTCACTACCTATTATAATTCCTGCTCCCCATTTTAGTTCGGATGGACAGGATGTCAATGTCAGTTGCAGCAACAACAAAATATCGCCAGGTATTGATTTTCAAATATTTCAAAATATTTCGAAGAGGGAGAGAGCAGTAGTCGGTGGAAGAGGGGAGGGGGTAATGACTTAAATTTAAGAGAACTTAAAGAGCTTTACACGTGATTTTCAAGTTCATTACTTAATTTGTTTATATTTTACTAATGCTACCTCCGCTTTTCTATATTTTACGACTTTGTTTTTTACAAGTACAGTTGTAGCTTTACTTTCGTCTCCAATAAAAAATACAAACAGCTTTAGCATGTGATAACCAAATAACCATTTTTGTTACTGTGCTAATAACACCATTTAAGCAACCACTAATATAAGGACACAATTATAAGGTGCGGGTTCTAAAGTTGGAAAACCAGACTATCTCTATATCTGCGCAGAGAATGATTGCGACATCAACTATATTAGACACGTGCGATTTCCATTGTCTTTCTTTTCCAAAAACCTTTGATGAGGAAGAGAGTAGTAGGTGGATTTAGTTGTGGTGGTGAGGGGGGGGGGGATCAAAGACTATCTCTATATCTGAGCAGACAATGATTGTATTAGACACGTGTGATTTCTATTTTCTTTTCATTTAGCCAAACTATGCCACAGCAACGCGTGGCCGGGTACAGCTAGTATGTATATATATATATATATATATATATATATATATATATATATATATGTATATATATATATATATATATATATATATATACACATACATATATATATATGTGTGTGTGTGTTTAAAAATCATGCTATGCGGGGACTAATATATTTAATAGTACATGTGCTTCTCTGCTGGGATCAAAATTTTGTTAGTGTTGCCAAGTGTTCGTCTCATGAGTGTCAAATATGACAGACTTACAAGGTTTCAAAAGTTGTTCGTCATCGTTAACCGGGTCGCTCACTGACTCGCCAGTAGACGACTTCGTCGCTGGTCGGGACAGTATTCAAGTCTCTCTCCTGTGTTCGCAACAGCATTGCAAGACTCCTTTTCAGTGCTTCTTGGTGGCGACCAATGTTAAGCCAATTTTTTTATGGCGCAAATTACCTAGTCACAATTATAACCAAAAGCTCCCCCTTCGGGGATGCTGCTTAAACGTGAAGATTTTTTTTTTTTTTTTTTTTGCAAAACAAGGCAAGAATTGTAAACTCAGTTTTTGTTTCACTTACAAAATTCTAAAATTATCAGCTAGAGAGAGGTAGGAGTCTGTGACCTGGTCGTCTTTCTTCTTGCCACAGAGAACTTCCATCGGTCTGATGGAGGCGCTGTCGTCAAACAACCGGACGGCCACTTCAGAGCAACTTGCTGTCAAACATTAAAAGTATAAACATGTTTCTTTACTTTTAAAGTGCAGATTTTAAAGCCAATAGTTATTTATTGCGTGATATACTCAAAATCTACATTTTGAAGGCGATTCCCTCTGAACATCTACAACTGTTCATTTGAACCAACTATTTCTTCTGAATATATACAACTGTTTAGCTGAACCAGCTATTTCCTCTGAATATCTACAACTGTTCTGTTTAAACAACTATTTCCTCTGAATATTTACAACTGTTCAGTTTAACCAACTATTCCTTCTGAATATCTACAACTGTTCAGTTTAACCAACTATTCCCTCTGAATATCTACAACTGTTCAGTTTAACTAACTATTTCCTCGGAATATTTACAACTGTTCAGTTTAACCAACTATTTCCTCTGAACATCTACAACTGTTCAGTTTAACCAGCTATTTCCTCATAATATCTACAACTGTTCAGTTTAACCAACTATTTCCTCTGAACATCTACAACTGTTCAGTTTATTCAACCATTTCCATCGGAACATCTACAACTGTTCATTTAAACAACTATTCCATTTGAACATCTACAACTGTTCATTTAAACAACTATTGCATCTGAATATCTACAGCTGTTCAGTTGAACCAACTATTCTCTCTAAATATCTATAACTCTTCAGTTTAACAACAACAATAACAAAGGGCATCACAAACATTCCAGCAATCCCACAAGATAATCTTCACCACCAACTATTGTAAATTCTTTCAAAAAAATATCAACTTTCATTTAATCATTAATGTCACACAATCTTCACCCGCAGCTGTGTAGTCTCACGAAATGCACTTCAATGGCAAATCATTGTTTCAGTAAAACCTAAAACATGTGTGTTTTTAAGTCAGATCTGAAGCTTTTGTGTCATTTCAAACGATGAGATCTTCATTGTCAACTGTTTTTTGAAATCACACAATTTTCACACTCAGCTGTCCCTTGTCATTACAAAACCTTCATTTCCAGCTGTCCCTTGTCATTACAAAACCGTTTTTTTCCAGCCGGGGACCTTCATCCGGGCCCTCCCCAGCTAAATGTAAGTACCAGCCGGGGACCTACATCCGGGCCCTCCCCAGCTAACTGTAAGTACCAGCCGGGGACCTTCATCCTGGCCCTCCCCAGCCAACTGTAAGTACCAGCCGGGGATCTTCATCCGGGCCCTTTCCTCAGACACCCCGACTCTCTACCAATACCGCCCTACCACGTACATTGATCCCATGCTCTCCCCACCCCCCTTTCCTCAGACACCCCGACTCTCTACCAATACCGCCGAACCACGTACATTGATCTCCTGCTCTCCCCACCCCCCTTTCCTCAGACACTCCGACTCTCTACCAATACCGCCCTACCACGTACATCGACCTCATGCTCTCCCCACCGCCCTTTCCTCAGACACTCCGACTCTCTACCAATACCGCCCTAACACGTACATTGATCTCCTGCTCTCCCCACCCCCCTTTCCTCAGACACCCGACTCTCTACCAATGCCGCCCTACCACGTACATTGATCTCCTGCTCTCCCCACCGCCCTTTCCTCAGACACCCCGACTCTCTACCAATACCGCCTTACCACGTACATTGATCTCCTGCTCTCCCCACCCCCCTTTCCTCAGACACCCCGACTCTCTACCAATACCGCCCTACCACGTACATTGATCTCCTGCTCTCCCCACCGCCCTTTCCTCAGACACTCCGACTCTCTACCAATACCGGCCTACCACGTACATCGATCTCATGCTCTCCCCACCGCCCTTTCCTCAGACACTCCGACTCTCTACCAATACCGGCCTACCACGTACATCGATCGCCTGCTCCCCCGAACTCGCCCTCCAGGTTGAGGTCAGACACTTCTACGAGGATGCGATGATCTCTGTTGCTGGCGTGGATGATCCACTCACATCTGGTCAGCGGCGGGTACTTGTTGGGGTAGTTGGGGCTCATGATGATACCCCCTGACCCCCTGGCATTGATGACGTATGTAGAACAGGCTGGGGAAAAAAAAGTTCGTTGAGAACATTAAAACAATAATAAAGTAAAGTAAAGGTTTCTGCTGCATTTCCTCACACAATACTAGAGACATATTTCTCTAAAAGAATCAGCGATTGCGTGATGATATGGTCAACATCGTACAGGCCACCTTTACTTCCCATTTATCCCAGTTTAGGATGGATAGACATAAAAGCTCAGGTCAGTTGTAAACAAATTCCGTCAAGGTGAGAATTCGAGCCCAACATCTTTGGGAAGGAAAGCAGTCATTTAGCCACTCGGCTACGATAACTCTCTTCTAAAAACGATTGAACAGTAAAACAAATATACACAACCCAGCTGCAACAAAATATTCATCAAACATTTTAAAATATCGAATATTTAGACCAAAATCTTTATCAACGAAAAAACATGTTATATGGGCATTCGTTGTGCGATACACGCAGAAACCAGTTATGATACACAAGCAAAGTAGTCTATCGCCGAGCCTCTTTTGTAAATGGTTCTTCAGTTCCAGTATATCAACTTTGTGTAATCTCTGAGCATCCTTTCGCGTTTCTATTTCTTTCTCCTTAACAGCAACCACCTTGAGGTATATCTACAGATTGTTCCCGTCAGAAGTTGGTTATACCAGTTTATTTTATTTATTAGCCACCAAAACGGCACCGACCTACTTATCTCCCCTAGAGTGATCCATGAAGTACACACAACACCACTCACTGTTATCTATATCCTGTTTCTTAATGAATCTGTAAGTTGCCTTGAACCCTATGTAGGATAAGCGATCGTCGGAGTGGAAGACCAGTTTGAGGAGGCGGGAGGTCATGTACGGACCTGGGATGGTTGTGCCGCAGTACTTTTCAGTCAGGGTGAAGTTCTCTTTAATGAATGTGCCGACATCTTCGTAGATCGCCAGGTAATCTCCCGTGTCACATCTGAGATATAGACGACAAGAAACATTAACAAGATAGTGATTGAGATTAGTTAGCAATACAAGGTTCGAGAATAGTGGGCAATACAGAGAACGAGAGAAACCGACAATGGTGCAGAAAAATGTATACCCCCAAAAATGTATTATTAATAGAAAAGAGTATTAAACAGCATCACATATATTATGGTTAAGCACCAGCAAGGGAATAAAAGTCAACGTTATGCGTGTTTCCTGTAACAAAATAAAGGTATGGTTTATGTTTGTTCTGTGTAGCAATATACTGATATGATTTATACATGTTATCTGTTGCAACACACAGATATGGTTTATACATGTTATCTGTTGCAACATACAGATATGGTTTATACATGTTCCCTGCAGCAAAATGAATTTATGGTGTATGCATGTTCCCTGTAGCAACACAACGATATGTTGTATGCATGTTCTCTGCAGCAACATAAGGATATTGTTTAATACATATATAATAAACAGACTATATATTGATCTGCATTCATTAAAAAAAAAAGTAGAAAGACAGAAGGACTGACTAGACAACATACCAATTGAAAGCTTCAGTTACAGTGACGGAAATCAAACCTGTCACCTGCAAATGACGTGGCGCCTCGCTATGGAAACAAATGTACTAAGAAAATGACCAACTAGGCATCCCTACAATAAAAGTGTCTTCATTGGTCATGTCTATGATACAGCTTGAAATCCACAACTACGGAATGCAGAGAAGTAATCTGAGACCATTGAAATGGCAGCATAAGGTACATACATTTATATTAACCAAGCATAGGTTGAATAACAAACACAATAACAATTTTCAAACAAATCAGACCGTAGTGCTTTGTCTAGAACACACAAACATTTAAGAAAAAGATTTGATTGGCAGGTTCAGTTGTGTTACACGTCAGTCACCTAAATAGAGGAGTTGGGGGGGGGGGGCGGGACTCTTGAGGCTGTAGAAATATTATATATATATATATAAAAGACAGACTATGCTTTAACTGAAACTAATAGAAAGAAGTAGAAAGATACAGGGAAACACTGGGCAACATAAAAATCTACAGCTATAGTTGCTATACCGGAAATTGAACATATCACTTCCGAATGACGACAGAACTTAGCTGCAGAAACAGATAAACTAATAATTAGTTAAGAAATTAATTAATTAATTAAGAAAATTTTTATTTCTGAAATGACCAAGAAACATAGGGTGAGAACCAGGGATAGTTGCTTAGCTGACAAAAATATTGGATGGACTAATATAAAGATAACATTACACGCTAATTGATGCAAAGATGGAGGATGAATGGGTGAACTGATATACTGATAAATGAACAAATTATTAGAGGGATGGATAATTGGATACATTCACAAAAGAATAAATGGGTTAATCTTCATATAGCAGGCCTTCGGGCGGCTGAAAAAGGATCAAATTTGGAATTTTTGTTGGACAGGTGGAATGGGTTAATATTTACATGAACTAGTGCCCCTAGGCATGGATCGACTGAGCGATCAATGTGTCACCTCCGTCCTGCTACCTAGGCTTATACCCTCTTCAAATTAATAAATCTTAATCTGGGTGCAGACACGTAAGGCAGATCTAGACATCCTGTTCAACCTCTAAGTCTCTATGTGGGTTTTAAGGTCCCATTTTGCGTGTTTGTGTGCGAGCGTGTGTGTGTGTGTATTAAGGGTGGAGGGGTGGGATAATAAACTGACTGCCTCCTAACAGAGAACATTAGCACCGGAAAATATGGTGACGACTAAAAAGATCACTAGTAGAAGAGGCAGAGGCAGACCAAGAGAAATGATGGTGGAAAGCTTAAGACAGTGGCATGAAAGAATATCATCAGTAGAATTGATCCATAACACCAAAGACCGAGATCTGTGGCGACGCATGAACACCTACTCAAGCTGGCAAGGCACTTAATGATGATGCATCCTAACAAGCATGTCGTAAAAGGGGACTGGTTAAGTGTGTTTCTTTGACGTCACAGGTTATCTGCCCTTATAGACAAGGAACCAGTAGTCTGCACACACACAAAAAAAAAAAAAGCCAGATCTGAAAAACGAATGTGCATTAAAACTCAAGTTATTGAACAAAACTGAAGTGGACGAACATCCAAAACTTTCCACCGGTGTTAAAAGAAAGTGGACGCTAAGTTAAACCACAAAAGAAGTGATCATTAGGACAACAGCCAAGGGAACCTGCTGCCCTGTACGAGTCAGGAGGGCCCGGATGAAGATCCCCGGCTGGTACTTACAGTTGGCTGGGGAAGGGCCCGGATGAAGATCCCCGGCTGGTACTTACAGTTGGCTGGGGAGGGCCAGGATGAAGGTCCCCGGCTGGTACTTACAGTTAGCTGGGGAGGGCCCGGATGAAGGTCCCCGGCTGGTACTTACATTTAGCTGGGGAGGGCCCGGATGAAGGTCCCCGGCTGGTACTTACAGTTGGCTGGGGAGGGCCCGGATGAAGGTCCCCGGCTGGTACTTACAGTTGGCTGGGGGAGGGCCCGGATGAAGATCCCCGGCTGGTACTTACAGTTGGCTGGGGGAGGGCCCGGATGAAGATCCCCGGCTGGTACTTACAGTTGGCTGGGGGAGGGCCCAGATGAAGATCCCCGGCTGGTACTTACAGTTGGCTGGGGGAGGGCCCGGATGAAGATCCCCGGCTGGTACTTACAGTTGGCTGGGGAAGGGCCCGGATGTAGGTTCCCGGCTGGTACTTACAGTTGGCTGGGGGAGGGCCCGGATGAAGATCCCCGGCTGGTACTTACAGTTGGCTGGGGGAGGGCCCGGATGTAGGTTCCCGGCTGGTACTTACAGTTGGCTGGGGGAGTCCGACAGAGTGAAGCTGCTGAAGCTAATGCTGATGAGGTGGTCAATGAGCGGACGGAAGACATACTCGCAGTCCAGGTTGGAGGGGTAGGCGTTCGGGTGTCGGGGCGAGTTGGTGGTGCCCTGTGTGGTCTTCACGTTGTTGTATAGGAACCGGCACTTGCCTTCTTCTGGCTGCTCGCCTGGTACATCGTAGTCTGTGGATGGATCCATGGATGAGTGGGGGGGGGGGTGGGGGCGTGTTTAGTCAATGGATAAACAATTTTACGATAGGTTCAAAGAACTGAGGTATGAATGAAGTATGGATAGGTGTGGGAATGTATTATGGCTCTTGTTTGCTGGTACGCAGTACTGGTACCTTTCCTTAGGGATACTTTATTTCCTAGCGCTACTGTGACAAAAGAAGCTGAAATATGTTGGTCATATCAAGCGCCACGATGGATTGGACAAAATTATAGCGGAAGGCATGGTACCAAGAGGAAGGGGCAGGGGCCGACCGACACGAAGATGGGCACACGATATGACTCCTTGAGTATGAAAGTAGACGAGGCGGGAGAACTGGCGAGAGACAGAGTTTCTTTCAGGCAGACTGTGATGAGAGCGACGTTCTCCTAAGGACCTGCTACATGATGGATGGACTGTGACAAAAGGTTTTAGTGAAGGAATTATTTATTACACTGACAGATAATAAAATGTCGCCCTGATGCGGGACACAATTTTCGTTATTTTTAAGCCCGACCCCGGCGGTAGTCGGGACCCCTAATACAATCTGACGGCTGAACGGGGTTTTTGGGTTCTCTCCCCCGAATGATACTCATCCGCATGGTGGCACTTTTTTGTCACTGGGTGTTTATTGCTTGGTGGATGTCACGGCTGGATTGAATCTCACTCACTAACTCATTGATGGAGAACTCAAGTAAAGTGTATGTGAATTAAATTTTAGAACGATGGCTGATTATGTTTAATCTACCAGTAAATAAATTGATCAAGGAGTGGTGCGTGTAATAACGGTGGGATAGATGAATGAAAGGATGAATGAAAACATAAATCAATGACAACTGAAAAAAAAAATTGGTTTGTATGCAAATAGAAAAGTTATTGATTGTATTTTCAGTTACAGAAGGTTATAAATAGTTGCGTATCCTTTACAGGACATTGCAGAACCATCCCCAGCATTTTTTTTTTTACTGTTGTGGCTATTCTGGGCAAATTTACGCACAATAGTTTGCCATTGCCCCCTGGACGGTCGGCTTCTTGATACCATTGTCGAAACCAACGCAAGGCTGGAATCGAAACCGGCACCACGGAATTACGAAGCGGGTTCATAACCCCACAGCCACTGACGCCGAAATATGAATTAAAGAAAGGATAAATGAATGAATGAACATTTCGGTGAGTGGGTGAGTTAATGGAGCGATGACCTGGTGACTAAATATTTAGTTTAACACAATAAAAATTGCACAAGTTTTAATCAGTGAATGAATAATCGCATATATATATATATATATATATATATATGTCGGTGTAAAATGTTTAAATTGCTGAAATAATTAATGCACTCAGAATGGAAAAGACCAGACTACCCCCTCAAGCCCTGGTATGGACACCGGAAGGGAAAAGAGAAAGGAGAAAACTAAGAGAGACTCTGGATAGAACCATCATCAGGGAAGGCTCAACCAAGGTCCTAATGAACATACAAGATCTAAACATCCGGCAACGAACTGCCAGACATGTAGAGGTGTGATCTCTGCTCCAGGCTCAAGAAGAAAGACTAAATAACAAACCAAAGAATTTTATGAGAGAATGAATCCATGTATGAGACCAACGATATATGGGTAAACAAACATTTGTTTTAACGTTTGAATGTAATGTTAAACATGTGTGTGTGTGTGTGTATGTGTTGTCCATAAAGATGATGATGAACTCTTTTTTTTTTCATCAAGTATGAGTACGAAGTTGACTGATGAGGCCGATGCGGACCCAAAAAGTTCTTGGACAGTGAGGACAGGGAATGAGTGTTGTGCCAGGGAGGGGATCTCCCTCAGTCGCCTTTCTGTTCATCCTTTTCCTAATCAGTCTTGCTGTTCTGTTTGCTTCACATGTAGCCGCGCCCTTGTGTAGAGCTGCACGCCATGCATTTCGGTCTTGCGAGGCAGCCTCCCAATTGGTGTCATTCATCCCAAATGCTTTCAGTGAAGACTTCAAGGTGTCCTTAAAGCGTTTCTTTTGCCCGCCGTGGGAGCGTTTCCCATTTATGTTAAATATACCGTTGAATAAACCAATCAATGCAATATTTAATGAATCACTAGACGAATGAGGGAATGAATAAACAAAGTGAATCAACAAACAAACAAGAAAGGTAAAAAAAAAAAAAAAAACGTACTCAATATCCGTTCGTATGATAATGACAAAAACGAAAGAATAACTTTAACAGCGAGGCTGAATGAGCAAACTACATCACTGGCTCTTCGGATTGATTTTGATAATGGTATGGAAAGCATACTGCGCAGAAAGCAATGCCAAACTTCTGAACGTAAAACCACAAACATCCAGCATCTGATGTTGCTGGTTTGTAAAGTCATGTAAAGAAAATGTAACTACCCGATTTGTGGAATTATAAATAAATGTCAAGTCGGCACAGAACCAATTCTGGATTACATACAAAGACAGCAAGCGAAATGGTTTGCCCACTTAGAGAGAATGCCTTGTGACACCATACCATACAAAGCATACATGGAAAGAGAAGAAGGACGTAGAGCACGGGGTAGACCAAGAACAAGATGGAAGGATAACATCAGAGAAACTCTACAACAGCACGATGTGCCTATGGTCGAGGCAGCCAGAAGAGCTAGAAACAGAACCTTATATCTCCCTCGACACCCACATCGGTAAAAGAGGAAGTGAAGAAGAAGAAGATAAATAAATGTAAAAATAAATTTATAAGCACACAATGCTATTTATTCCATACACAAATGTCTTTCAAAAAAAAAAGTTTTACTGCTCCAGATTTGGATTTTTCTTGTATGACAGTGAGTGACGTTCAAACCCACAACGAAGAGGAAAAAACACACTGTGATACAAAATGCCACCATTCGGATGAGAATCCTTCCGAGATGAGTTTCTGTTTGACCGTTAGGTTATACCAGGGCCGTCGACGACAGCCGTGGAAGGGCTTTAAAAAAACAAAAATCAGGACGGACACATGCTATTTTGTATAAAAACAATGAAAAGATTATCTGAACTCTAATATTTAAAGTTAAATCTGTATCCTCTTATCCGAATATTCAGATAAACAAGTAAAAGAAATTGAAACAACAACAGAGGCAAAAAAAAAAAAAAGGTTGAATAATCTTCTGATAGAATGTTAGAAATGTTCCTGAGTCATGAGAGCGAGAGATCGGAGACATCGTCCAGCATCCCCGGGTGAAATACTCGCTGAAGCAGAAGCATCCTGCATGAGTGGAGTATTTTAATGAACTTCTCTTGCCAAGTAGAGGCTAAGGGAAATAACTCATAGATTGTCACACAAAGCACAGGGGTTACGGGAAATTCCTCATTGGGGTCAGAAAGGGGGGATAAGTGCGTATAATAATAGCCCTTGTCACCTGTTCCGGACTTCAACTTACTTGATAGACATGATAGGTTCCAGAATAATCTTACAGTTAAACATGGAATACTTCTCACGTTTCAGGGCCCAGCTGGGTCAGCTCCGCTCATTTACACACAACGCAACTTTTCATTCCCAGTTGGTCGGCAGAGTCAACTTCTGTCAAGATTAGAGCTGTGTGCCTGCGTACTTTGGTATTTACACAGCATTTTGCAAAACATGTTAATTCTTATTCAAGGAGTAGGGGCCGTCGAGATTGCGTACTCGCTCGCAAGCAGTTCTAGTGTTTGTTGGTGTTTATATGAGAGCCGTCTGAAATTTTCAGTAGGAAAAGAGTTCATTACAGCGGTTAGCGTTGCGTGTCTGCAGCAACAGAGCCTTGTGCGGGCCGCCGCAAAATGTCTGAAACCAAGACACGTAGAACTCACTGTCTCGTCGGACCTCGGTTCAGTGTGTCGTAAACCGGGGTTAAAGGTTAGGGTCAGTTGTACATGTTATGTGGTTGTTAAAGGCGCTCACGTGCTCTGATATAGAGCACGCGTCGTTGTCCGTAGGAGCGTCGACCTAGCTGAGACCCCTGCCACTTACCCTTGCGCGTCTTAAAGGTTAAGGCGGAAACTGAAACTCCAATTTCGTGTCCTGAACAGTGTCCTGACCGGACTACGTCAATCATAATCTGGTAATCCTAGTTTCAGCTTCATAGCAAACAGGTCACCCCATAGTTGCTCCGCTCCTGTGCCAACGAAAAACACACGTAGCTCACAGTGTCACACCATGCACTCAACTCAGAAGCTGGGCGACGAAACTATATGCTTCCAGTCTACAAATGGAGCAAAAATGCGACGGCCACCGCCTGGCAGAAGTAAAATAAAAAATAAAAAAATTTGACCACGGCTAAAAAAAAAATTGGCCACGGCTAAAAAAAAAAAGTGGCCGTGCCTAGCGTCCATTTTGACCTGAAGCATTATGTGAGGGTTAATAAATGGTCGCCCCAGCAGTACCCTCACTATTAGCTGGGGAAAGGACTTAGGACATTACATCCATCAGCAAGCGTCGTCCCTACAACGACCTGACTGTCTTCGTTAATGACTGTTGACCCAACAGCCATGCAGTTCTTTGGCACGAAGGAGACACCTTGAACTTGGGTTTCGGAATTCCGACATCCTACAAAACGTTATTTTTGTGTTTTGTTCTCACAATCGACGTCACTGCACATTGGGCACACCCATGCGTGCGCAGTCTTCCGAAACAGCAGCCACTCCAAAGTACTTCTACTAATTGTCCCCATGAGAAGCTGATTATATCAATCATAAGTGTGTGAGTGGGCGGATCTGACCCAGATGGGCCCGGAAATGTGAGAAGTTCCGAACATAGTTTACTGGTATTTGTATATGTTGAATTCTAACATCCATGAAGTGTTAACCCTAACGACTACAAACCTCGAGGGGACAAACCAACTAGCACAACTACACAAATCTACATTGCTGTTCCAATTTGGAGCGCAATTTTTGGTTATTTTAAAGCCCAACTCCGGTGGTTGTCGGATGCCCTAATATAACCTAATGATTGAACGGGGTTTCGGGGACATGCTTGACACATCATCATCATCGTACCCTAACGAATGGCGTGGAATATCACATTTCTCGATGCCTCGCGATTTCCAGGAGAATATATCAGTTCGTGTACTGACGTTTGCTGAAGTCACAGAGTGTCAACAATTTTCTCTCGATATCTTCCCTTTTCTATCTAGCCATAAGACTTGTTGTGTCTATGTCCCACTTTTTTTTTAAAAAACTATGAACAGTATTAAGTGAGGAGAGAAGTTGGTTAGATGTGTATAGAGTCATAACCACATTGAACCAGCAGTGTGGACAATGGCTAGCAGGTGTGGCGTGGGTTGAAATTCAGCACTTTATTCAGGAAAATGCTCGCTCAGAGGATGTGATTATTTATACAGATAGTTAAATGCCAAGAGGCTAAAGAAGTGCTTTGGAGTTTTGAGTAAAAGCTAATTGTCGACTTATGGCTCAGAAAAACCTAGCATATGAAAGAATGGAGATGGAGACAGTCGTTGCAGCTTTCCGCGGCTGGAGACCACCACCCCACACACATATACACATCGTGATTGTAACTGACTCAGAAAGCATGCTGAGGACGGTGAGGACAGACATGCATCGCTGTGGAGGTCACAGGTGAAGAGCATTGTCTGGATATTTTCTGTGGTAACACCGGTGTTAACACCGGCCAAAGTTTGGCTGCAATAAACGGCCTGTTAAGCTACCGCTTGGGTTCTGACATCCCTCTCAAATACATATCCCCATTTTTGTATGGGGGGGGGGGGGGCAAGAATGGTACCAAATACATCTTTAACTGCAATGAACAAAGAGTTTGCTGAAATAGGATGTGTTGAGCGGAAAGAGGAATCTTTCGCAGCCTATCTTTAAACCACAAAGCAAGATTACCTGTGATAAAAGTATATCTGGCAACAAACTTGCCACCCTGGACAGCTCCTGTTGTGTTAAGGGTGATCACCATCCGGGGACCCACGCTGGTGATGGGAGGTGGGTCGTTGCTGCCACAGTATTTGTTTTTCACCGAGCCGTCACTGAGACGTCCATCCTCGTTCTCTCCCACGTACCCGAGCAGACAGCTGTGAAATATACACGGGTAGACGGACATATTTTCATTTCAATGTAAATATGGACTTGATGGTAAAGGAGAATACACAACTACTACTCCCCCCTCCCCACCAGCAAGCATGTCCTAAAAGGGGACTATTAAGGGGTCGCTTCAAAGTCGAAGTGCTTCTGTCTGAGAGGCGTGGAACCAACTGTATGCACACAAACAAGGTAGATCTATAAAGTAGGTAGGTGCTTTCCGAAAGACTAATCGTCACATTTAACCAGCATCTCCAAAGCAAAAGGGGAGCTTTAGGTTATAATTGTGACTAGGCTATGTGCGCCACATAAAATAGCTAAGCATTGCTGGCCACCAAGTAGCCCTGAAAAGGATTCCTGCACTGCTGAGGCGATCAATGGAGACAGACCGAAATACTGTTTTGACCGACGACAATACACACACGATAACCAGAATCATGGATCCTGTCGGCGTTCTTGTCTCGCTCCATATTTGAGGCTTCATCATTCGGGGATTTATCTGTTTACCTTCCTGTTGCTATATTTTTATCAATTTTGCTGGTTGCTATCAAATTCTAGAAAACATACACCATTCCTTCTCGCAGCATGTCTGAAAATACGCAGGTTTTTATCCAACTGTTTAAACATCTTTCATCTGTCTCTGAGAGAAGTGTCTCGTTTGTTTTTCTATTATTCACCACTTCATCTTTGCTGTGGTCATCGTAATCATCATCATGAGCAGTAGCACCACCATCACTTATATATCATTATCATCACCATCAGCATCGTCTTTACCATTATCGCCCTCTTCTTCTTCATTTGTTGCTCGATTGGTCCGACCACGTAGTACTGACATTGAACATACACACACAAACACACACACACACACACACAAACAAACACCTATACACACATATCCAACCACACCTATCCACACATCCATACTCACCTAACCACATACCTTAACATACATATCCACATATACACCTATGAGCAACTCATATACACCTATATACACACACACACACCCATACACACACACACACCTTTTTACACACCCATACATACATTTTTACACACCTATTTACGAATCCATACACACTTATCCACACACGACACACACCCTTACACCCGTATCCACACACCTATACGCACACCCACACACCTATTTACATACCCATACATACATATTTACACACCTATTCACGAATCCGTACACACCTATCCACACACGACAATACCCTTACACCCGTATCCACACACCTATACGCACACCCACACACCTATCCACAAACCACTACACGCCTATGCTTACACCCATACACACCTATACACACACGACACATACCCTTACACCCGTATCCACACACCTATACACACACCCACACACCTATCCACAAACCACTACACGCCTATGCTTACACCCATACACACCTATACACACACGACACATACCCTTACACCAGTATCCACACACCTATACGCACACCCACACACCTATACACACACCCACACACCTCACACACTATCCACAAACCCCTACACGCCTCTGCTTACACCCATACACACCTATCCACAAACCCCTACACGCCTCTGCTTACACCCACACACCCATACACACCTATCCACAAACCCCTACACGCCTATGCTTACACCCACACACCCATACTCTATCCACAAACCCCTACACGCCTATGCTTACACCCATACACTATCCACAAACCCCTACACGCCTATGCTTACACCCACACACCTATCCACAAACCCCTACACACCCATGCTTACACACATACACACGCGACACTCACTTACTATGGCATGTTGCCAGGGATGTTGAAGTCAAAGAAACTGACTTTGACCTTCTCCAGGTTCTGCTCATCCATCAGCCCGTCCATATAATACCTACAGACGATGCCCTGCTTGAAGTTGGCCGGGTAGCCAGGGGAGACGAAGGTGCCGTTGCTTTCTTTGCCACTGAGGATTCTCTGATCGCATTCTGTGCCCCTGACGTGCTCAGCTCCTTCTTTGATAAAATGTTCGTCTGCGAAAGAAGTAGAGAAGTGGGTGGTAACTTTGATACGTAACTGACAAGGTTAATGAGGCTGTGAAACGATGGAGGGTCATTTAAAAACATTTTTGTTATATTTATCCTCTCATCATCGTTGTCGTCGTTATGGTCGTCGCTGTCACCACCACCATCGTCATCATCATCAGCAGCAGCAGCAGCAGCAGCACCACCACCACTACGAAAACCATCATCATCAGCACCATCATTATCTTCTTCTTGTTCGTCTTCTTGTTCCTCTTGTTGTTGTTGTTGTTGTTGTTGTTGTTGTTGTTCTTCTTCTTCTTCTTCTTCTTCTTCTTCTTCTTCTTCTTCTTCTTCTTCTTCTTCTTCTTCCTCTTCGTGACTGTGTCTCAGTTCATCAAGTAGAAAAAATATTTTCGGTCCTTTTCTTTTATTTCACACTATCTCAGTGACTCAAAAATGTCGCGGGGAATACCCGGAAAGTCCAATCGTAGAGGGGTGTCAAAAAACATCAATTCCTCAAAACAACCAGAAGAAAGCTCTCATTTTCTTCCTTTGTGAGTTAAATGTAGTCAACAAATCACACACGCATGAGTTGAGTTAGGAAAAGACATCTTTGTAGCACCAAGCGCAGAAAGAGAGAGAGAGAGAGAGAGAGAGAGAGAGAGAGAGAGAGAGAGAGAGAGAGAGAGAGAGAGAGAGAGAGAGAGAGAGAGAGAGAGAGAGAGAGAGAGAGAGAGAGAGAGAGAGATCAAATTGCGCTGATTCTAAAAACTCACAATAACAAAAACAATAACTAAAAAACGCAAGCAAAAGAAATGAAAATGTTTAAAACATACATACCTAATTTCACAAACTGGTCACTAAAGGTATATGATATATTAAATCCCCTCCGTGCAAACTTGTAATCGGCGCTTGCTCCATTGGACGCTGCAAAAATGAGTCGGCCCTCTCCTGTTACAAAGTCGAGCCAAAGCGCCTCCCCGGTAGAAAAGATCACAGTTGTTTGGTTAAAACTGCCGCAGAAAGTGCCAATCACCGGCTTGTTTTTGGTAAAACCGTCATATATTCGTAAAAAATCAAACGGGCAGCTACGAAATGAAGAAAACAGTTATTTAACAGTTTGTCAATTTTCAAGTAAACAATTTTGATATGGGGACAACATGGTAACAATGTAAGTGGTCATAAATATACTGTGCAACGATATGATTATTTGCTGCACACACGGAAGTCAAGAAATGAAGCAGAACCAGGTATAATAAGTATGTTAAATGTTGAATTAAGAATCGATATCACACACTCGGAATACCCCCATAAGCACTCCGTCCCCATCTTCAGAAGCAAGGAAAGCGTTCCAATTTCGATGGCACAAATAACTATCTGATTGCATATCCGTCCAGACGTCCCCTGAGCGTTAAGGTCCGGTCAGATTTCCTCGTAACTCAATTCTCCCTAAACCGTAATGAACCATCTTTACCTCCGTACAGTAACTCGTTCCCGATATTTTGGTATTAATAAAATAAAAGGTAATGAAAAAAAGTAATACAATAAAAAGTATAAGTATGACAAGGGTAACACTTCCTCGTCTGCCTTTCATATCCTAGCAAGTTAATCAGGTGCCGTTCCCCCAATGGAGGCTGACTGCAAAGGATCTCCAACAAGCTTGTCTTGGCCCCGGATCGCCACTCTCTCGGGCTGTGATTCTTTCATTTCCTGACGTTCTTCCCCCTTCCCCCCTCCCTCCCTATTCCCTCCGCCGTCAATTACCCACTTGCCTTAAACTGTTCCCTCTAGTATTGTTTTATAATGGTGTATTATCTTTTTTTATGGCTTGAATATTTAACTTTTGTTTATTTCCTTCACCATTTCATGTCCAGTCCGACTCTCTAGGTAGCCTTTGTAGCTCATGCAAGTCCTTCCTAGATTTCCTCGTGGCTTGTTGGATTTTGCTACTGAGGTTTTTATGCCTAGGCGATCGCCTAGTTTGTTCCAGAACTTGAATCTTTCGCGCATATCCATTTTAGAGACCTGCCTTATCTGATGCAGACTGTTGGTTGATCGCCTCTCAGGCTCAGCTACTCCGGCTTCGAAGGAAACAAAGCTCATTAGTCTACATTTACGACATGCTTGTAAGAGAGCAGGGGGTCTATTATTATTCACCCCCTCCTCCCTCTCTCTCTTCCCCCATAGGACCTCGGAACCTACACAACGAGGAGTAGTATCTAATGTCGTTTGGACTTAACTCTTTGGGTCCCAAACAACGCATGATGTTTGAATTATCATATTAGCTGAATACTCTGCTAAGCTCAATATGTTGTCTTACTTTTGGGCTCAAGAAATTTGGCATGTGCAATGGTCACTACTACTGTTTTATATTACTTTGAAAGTTAAGTCATTGACGAATTTTAATCACAGACACTTCTTCATTGACATTTCATACGAAATCTGGTTCTAGTACTCGGACAGCGGTTAAAATATATACTAATTTAAAAAAAAAAAAAAACGATAATTAGCTAATGTCTGTGCTGGACATAAAGAATAAAGTGGTAGGATGTAATTAACAAATCACCACTAAGTGCCTTGCCGACTGGCGTGGGCGATCATGCGTCTCCACAATCTGCGATCCGTATCTGCATGTATCAGTTCTTGTTCAGTGAGCAGTGGGCAACCTCTGGACTTAAAGTCGTTGTCTGGAACAAGAGTTTTGTGTGCGCATCCGTTTCACCAGACCTGGCTTACTTGTAAGGAGACTGTTGGTTCCTTGTCGCTCAAACACATCCTCTCCAACTTGGAAGGTAACAAACCTAAGTAGTCATTGGTTACCACATACTTGTTAGGGGGCAGTGAGTCAATCTCCTCCACCCCACTCCCAATCCATCTGGCCCTAGGATTTAGCCTGGAAAATTGACACTTAGATTTCCATGACTAGAACCTACCCGGGGAAGTACACTTAGATTTCCATGACTAGAACCTACCCGGGGAAGTACACTTAGATTTCCATGACTAGAACCTACCCGGGGAAGTACACTTAGATTTCCATGACTAGAACCTACCCGGGGAAGTACACTTAGATTTCCATGACTAGAACCTACCCGGGGAAGTACACTTAGATTTCCATGACTAGAACCTACCCGGGGAAGTACACTTAGATTTCCATGACTAGAACCTACCCGGGGAAGTACACTTAGATTTCCATGACTAGAACCTACCCGGGGAAGTACACTTAGACTTCCATGACTAGAACCTACCCGGGGAAGTACACTTAGATTTCCATGACTAGAACCTACCCGGGGAAGTACACTTAGATTTCCATGACTAGAACCTACCCGGGGAAGTACACTTAGATTTCCATGACTAGAACCTACCCGGGGAAGTACACTTAGATTTCCATGACTAGAACCTACCCGGGGAAGTACACTTAGATTTCCATGACTAGAACCTACCCGGGGAAGTACACTTAGATTTCCATGACTAGAACCTACGCAGACAAGTAGACACTTAGATTTCTCATGACTAGAACCTACCCGGGAAACTGGACACATAGATTTCCCATGACTAGAACCTGCGCAGGGAAGTAGCCACTTTGATTTCCCATGAATAGAACCTACGCGGGGAAGTAGCCACTTTGATTTCCCATGAATAGAACCTCTGTGGGGAAGTAGACACTTAGATTTCCCCATGAATAGAACCTACGCGGGGAAGTAGACACTTTAATTTCCCATGACTAGAACCTACGCAGGAAAGTAGCCACTTAGATTTCCCATAACTAGAACCTAGCCGGGGAAGTTGACACTTAGATTTCCCATGACAAGCCTACTTCAGATTTGTGATAATAGTCTCAAGGTAAACCTACTTACTATTCACCGCCATAAAAAAGGGAAAAATCCTCAAAGACCAGCTTAATCCTTTGGCCTGGCCTGCCATGGAGCTTGTAGTAACAATAGAGGTTGTCCGAGTAGATACCTGGGTACGTGGGAGACATAATGAATCCGTGGTCCTTATGATCACTGCGGATGGTGTAACCACAAGTGTTCGGCGCCATAGTGCCCATATCATAGTGCACTGAAAGAGAAGTCACTGCAGATACTTTGGCATATCCATATTGTTCACAGTTATAACATCAGGTTAATTATATACATGCAGCATTTATATCGAATGTGTCCAAATGTGTGACAACTATAGCATTGAAGCCCTGTTTTTCTTCTTTTTCCTCTTCTTCTTCTTCTTCTTCTTCTTCTTCTTCTTCTTCTTCTTCTTCTTCTTCTTCTTCTTCTTCTTCTTCTTCTTCTTCTTCTTCTTCTTCTTCTTCTTCTTCTTCTTCTTCTTCTTCTTCTTCTTCTTCTTCTTCTTCTTCTTCTTCTTCTTCTTCTTCTTCTTCTTCTTCTTCTTCTTCTTCTTCTTCTTCTTCTTCTTCTTCTTTTTCTTCCTCTTTAGCGTTTTGAGCCGTTGAGGTTCATTGCTGCAGATATCACGGGCCTCCACTCATCTCTTCCCTTTTCACTTGGTGACACCAAATGTTTGCAGGTCTGTTTAAAGCACCGTTTCATCCATTAAATATGCATATTTTCAGTGGGATAAAAACTAATTCATCACAGTGAACAAAACAAACAACAACAAAAAAAAAAAAAAAACATAGATCGATGCTTCTGGTGATCTAACAGCAAACGAGAGTTGATAGTCAGGGGGTAATTTCATACCCATCTAGCGGGACAAGTTTTCAATTACATCATCACCATCATCATCATCATTATTATTATTATCATCATCATCGTCCTCATCATCATCATTAAATACCTTGCCAGCTGGCGTATGCGTTCATGCATCTCCATAGATCTCGGTCTTTGGTGTTCTGGATCACTTCCACTGATGATATTTCCCCACTGTCTTAAGCCATCCATTATAATTTCCCTTGGTCTGCCTCTGCCTCTTCTACCATATTATTATAATTACATGGAACTCGCCATTTGATATTTTACAAAATAACAACAATCTCAAAAACAGGATATTACAGGTTCCTGGTGGATAGCATCCTTAGGATTGTTCTTTAGGGCATGCAAGTGAGTTGTGGAACGAACACGCAGACAGATTGACTGATTCTGCCTCCTGAGTGGAAAACTGATGAATGACAAGCTAGATCTGCGCAAGGTCCTTTGGGTGCAAGTGGACAGTGCCGAAGTACAATCAAATCATCACGCTAGCCAGAGAAGGGTTGAACGGGGATCAGGTCGGTATCCAACAGTCAGAAGAAAGGCAAGACGGACATATAGTCAGAATGATACTGGTAAAACTGCAACTGTAACTCTGTGCTGTTTGCTGACGATGGTTACGGAGCGCCACTCACCTCAAAGAAAATATTACTATCGACATTGGCAACAGCAAGCACACTGACAACAATCAGCAACCTAATCAGTCACAGCATGAATGCCATGAGATAAATAACTTTAGCTCCAACCCAAAAAACAAATTATGTCAAACAGCACTAAAAACAACAACAACGTAGAAATATAATCAGTAGCAACACCATTTATAATATCAGTAACACCAGTAATAACAACTATTATATGATCAATAACTTAGTAACAACAACAACAATAATTAGTAACAAAAAGTAAAGATCCATCATTACGCCTAAGGCGCATCGGGTATATAGGCAGAGCGTCCCATATTTTTTACACACCAATTTGCACTGGATGGGTAATGTGGTCAGCATTACGCCGGCCGTCTTTACTTTCCCAGGACAGCCATCCTGGTACCCATTTTAGGCTGGGTCAACGCCCCATATGATAAAAATCCACGCAGCCAGCATTGGGTTTCGATCGCGGTACGTTGGATAGCAAGTCGGACTCGCAACGCCTATGCCACGGACGCCGCACAATAATAATTACATGATCAATAACAACAGTAACCAGAACAACATGTCAAAAACATCACAAACAACAGAAACTACATGATCGATAAGATCAGTAACAACAACAACAACAACCAACATGTGAGTGGCATCAGTAACAGCAACAGTAGGTCGTGTCATCGTTAACAAGAACAACATGTCAATAGCATCAGTAACCACAACAAGTACATGATCAACAACATCAGGTACAACAACATGTCGGTAACATGAAAAACAATAGCAAAATAGATATCAGTAACATCGTCAGCAAAAACATGGTCAGTATAAACACGACACAACATCCCGAAGGTCTATATGTACCTGCGTCTATAAACTCCCAAGTGCCGTGGAAGCCGCCACTACTCTTCTCGTGGTTGGAATAGAACCAGATGACCAGAAAATTGTAGGTGGACACGACCATCTTGGGCAGATCCTCCTTGGACTCGCCACAGAAAGGCCCCGTCATCACAGCCTCCAGAAGATCTTCAGTCTCGTGTTTCAGTTGGGAGTAGATGTTAACGAAGTCGTGCTCACATCTGCAACAGTCCCCGGGGAATTAGATCGGATAAGCTAAGTACGTTTATCACTCACTGTGATGTAAATTCATATGGACAAATATTCGACATTATAGCATTCAGGACAAGCCCATAATAGCTCCTTTTCGCTCCTTAGCCACCATGAAGAGTCTTCATACTGATGGTAGTCGTTGTCATCTAGTTAACTACTTGTCTTGCATTCTCCTGAATTTTAACTGGACGCCCAAAGCCTGCAGATACTCGCCGCTGCTTCATTCTCTATAGATAACGGGTTTTAATATCTTCCAATTTCATCCATTCATTCATAACCCTGTTGTACAATAATATATCACATAGGGCTCGTAGTCTATTCCTCTATTCCGTTCTATCATGTGAGACCCCTTCACTATCGTGGAGTGAATCCACTCCAGCAGCTTTGGCCTCTGTGATCAACGCACTTCCAAGTGTTTCTTCTAGGCGTCCTTACTTCCTTATTCCCTTTATTTCCCATTGTTCTGCCTGTTTGGTGATTCCATGCTGGCTTCTTCTCTCAATGTAGCGCCATCTTCTCTGTCTTACAAGTGTTGATACTAGTGGTTGCCCAGACTTGTCTCTTATTTATCTGCTCCTTTTGAATTCATCCCAATTTATGTGCATAATTTTTCTCATATGTTGTTTTTTTTTTTTTTTGGGGGGGGGGGGGGGGGGGGGGGGGGGGAAATGCATTAACTTTCGTTCCATGTGTTTTTTGGTTCTCCAGCGTTTACTTGCATACGTTAAAACTGAAACAACATCAGAATTGAAGATCTGTAAACTGGGTTTTAAAACTATACAATTCAGATTTCCATATTTTTGTTCAATCTATAGAAAGCTGCCGCTGATTTGCCCGCGTGCCATAGTTTCTGTCTTTGTATTTCTTTCACTATCAAACTTACACCTGAAATAAGTAAGTTAATCTGTTATTTTCGTTACTCTTGTGCCTAGCGCTACATCTGCTTGATCTACTGCTGGTGTTTTAAATATACATCTTCCAATTTACTTGGGTGTAACTGATATGAAGTGCTTAAGCCATATTTTACAGTCATCCGCAGTCTCAATGGGCACGCCACCTTTACTTCCCCAATATTTAATGGTACCCCCCCTCCCCCCCCCCACCCCGCCCATCCTTAAAAGATTTTGCAACTGAGAGTAAACACAATTATTCCACTCACAAAAAAAATTGTCCTTGCATTGCCTCTATTAGACTCCACCTCTTCTCTTTCACTCCAACCTTTTACTGTTGGAGAACACTTTCCAGTCTTCAGTTACAACAGCCAGATATTCATAAATACAGAATGGCAGCTACATAGACAACACGTAGACAGACGCATAGAAAGGTAGGTATGTAATGTACCTATATATGTAGGGAGTAGAATTGTAAAATACGTACTATATAAACGCTTTATTAGGTAAAACGTTAAAACAGGTACTATATAAATACGTTGGTGGGTAAAACGTTAAAACAGTTATTACGTAGATACCTAGAATGAAGATTAAATGAGCTGTCAGTTAAAAAGAACACATGTACGAAGCACATGTGAACAGAGCATCAAATATTTTGTCCATCACGAGTTTACAAGTGATGATGAACAATCCTCCATCAGCTATGTCGGTGGGGGTGATATGAGTGCAGTGACTACTTAATTAAAAAGCAAATCCTGGCATGAAATATTCTCCCGTAGTGTGGACATATGATCTCGGCCACGTCAGTTTAGGTTAGGGATCCAGCTCATGGTCTTTTCTGAATTGTCTTTCTGTACTGCTGCTATTTTAAACTACGCACGTGAACCACTTCAGAGGGACAGCACTTACCCTGGAGGCCGCCCATGGACATTGAACTGTGTAAACTGTATTTTCACGCGCTGGTTGGCCCGACCTATGAACTTGTATTTGCAGCTGACCCCGTTGGGGTAGTGGCTGGGAAAGCCGGGGGACTGGAACTCGCCCTCCCTCACGTCAGACTGGTAGCTGAATAACTTGTCACAGTCTGAAACAGGTCAAACACACACATTGAATAAATGAAGAATGAACCAATGAACGAATTTATTAATTAATTACTAAAAAAGCTAATTGTGTGACTTTGAAAAGAATGTGTTTCCATGCGGAATTTAAATGAAAATAAGTAAAACTTACTTATGTAACAAAAAGGAATTCATCATTAGTTTGAAATTACTCTTCTAATGACGTGACGATCCCAAACTTTCGGTGATTAGATGAACACAATGCATTGAGAGCGACCATTTGGATTTCAGTGGCACACTACTGCTATTGAAGCAGCTGCACTACTACTACTACTACTACTACTACTACTACTACTACTACTACTACTACTACTACTACTACTACTACTACTACTACTAATACTACTAATATTACTACTACTACTACTAATACTACAACTATTACTACTACTACTACTACTACTACTACTACTACTACTACTACTACTACTACTACTACTACTACTACTACTACTACTACTACTACTACTAATATTACTACTACTGCTGCTACTGCTACTACTGTTACTACTTCTGCTATTACTACGGCTACTACTGCTACTACTACTACTACTACTACTACTACTACTACTACTACTACTACTACTACTACTACTACTACTACTGCTACTACTACTACTACTAATATTACTACTACTACTGCTACTGTTATTACTTCTGCTTTTACTACGGCTGCTACTGCTACTACTACTACTACTTCTACTACTACTACTACTACTACTACTACTACTACTACTACTACTACTACTACTACTACTACTACTACTACTACTACTACTACTACTACTGCTGCTGCTACTACTAATATTACTACTACTAATAATAATAATACTACTACTATTAAGACTACTAATATTACTACTACTGCTGCTACTGCTACTACTGTTACTACTTCTGCTATTACTACGGCTAATACTACTACTAATACTACTACTACTACTACTACTACTACTACTACTACTACTACTACTACTACTACTAATATTACTACTACTACTGTTACTACTTCTGCTATTACTACGGTTACTACTGCTACTACTACTACTCCTACTACTGCTGCTACTACTACTACCACTACTACTACTAATATTACTACTACTACTGCTGCTACTGTTACTACTTCTGCTATTACTGTGGCACAGTCGTGCCTATACATCCCCCAAGAAATAGATGTGCCTAAGTCGGCCAAGTGGAATGAATATAGTTCGTATCTCTCTTCAATCGTACTCAAGAACAAGGCCAGTGATGTAATCAATTACATAAGAGCTGGTTTATTCATAATATTCTCGTCACACACATTTCATAAATTCATTACGCAATAGTATATGAACTCTCCTTATTACTGGCTATTCGTATGCCTCTACGAGTTCCTTAACCACTGTTCTGGCTAAACTCCAAGTTTAATATATACCTTCTAAACGAAGTAAAGCACTAGTTTTCTCCTAACCGGTCTTTCTAGCGGTCTAGCCCTAACTCCCTTCTCCAGCGGTTCCAGGGCTAACTGTCCTCTCCAGCGGTTCCGGGACTAACTCACTGTTCTAGCTAAACTCCAAGTTTAACATATACCTTCTAACGAAGTACAGCACTAGTTTTCTCAACTGGTCTCTCAAGCAGTCTAGCCCTAACTGTCTTCTCATGGCGGTTCCGGGGCTAACCGTCCTCTCCAGCGGTTCCGGGACTAACTCACTGTTCTAGCTAAACTCCAAGTTTAACATATACCTTCTAACGAAGTACAGCACTAGTTTTCTCAACTGGTCTCTCAAGCAGTCTAGCCCTAACTGTCTTCTCATGGCGGTTCCGGGGCTAACCGTCCTCTCCAGCGGTTCCGGGACTAACTCACTGTTCTAGCTAAACTCCAAGTTTAACATATACCTTCTAAACGAAGTAAAGCACTAGTTTTCTCCTAACCGGTCTTTCTAGCGGTCTAGCCCTAACTCCCTTCTCCAGCGGTTCCGGGGCTAACTGTCCTCTCCAGCGGTTCCGGGACTAACTGTCCTCTCCAGCGGTTCCGGGACTAACTGTCCTCTCCAGCGGTTCCGGGACTAACTCACTGTTCTAGCTAAACTCCAAGTTTAACATATACCTTCTAACGAAGTACAGCACTAGTTTTCTCCTAACCGGTTTCTTTAGCGGTCTAGCCCTAACTGTCTTCTCATGGCGGTTCCGGGGCTAACTGTCTCTCCAGCGGTTCCGGGACTAACTTTATTCCCCCGCTTTCCCGCTCTTTTTGGCGTACCTTCTCCATCACTTCTCTGTCACCTGTCTTTGGTGGTCACGTCTGGATGAACGTATCTCATTAGCTGGTCACAGTTCACGGGCACTCGTCGAATGTTTCATCCCTCACTGTCAGATGTCATGGCGGTGTGTTCTGCATAGCTGGCTAGGCCATGGCTTTCTAATCACCTATTTCTGTCATTTCACACAGTGATGGATTAGTACGCCGTGTGGTGGTCTGAAATGTATGCTTGTTCATTTAACCCCTTTCTGCCTATATTTCATTACATTACTACGGCTATTACTGCTACTACTGATATTACTACAGCTACTACTTCTACTACTACTACTACTGCTACTGTTACTACTGCTGCTATTACTACTGCTGCTGTTGCTGCTACTACTACTTCTGTTACAGCTAGTAATAATACCACCATCATTTCCTCCTCCACCACCTCCACTACTAAACTACTGCTGCTACTAATATTGTTGTGACCACCACTGCCCACCCTGCTACTACGTTAAAACTAAGGCTGTGCCGAATAGTGATTTTCACTATTCAGCCGAATACGAATAGCTGGACCAACTATTCGACCGAATACGAACACGAATAGTGAATCATCATCATCAGCTGCTTTGCCGACTGGCATGGGCGATTATGCCTTGCCACAATCTGCGATCTCCTGCAGCATGTATTAGTTCGTGTGCTGACACACCTCCATGCCATGCAACAAGACTGTCAAGCATCTTCTCTCGTTGTCTTTTTCTATCTCTCCTTCCATAGATCTTTCTAGTGGTCACCACATGTTCCATTTTCCCTCATCTTATAACATTGCCGAAAAAAGATGACTGTCTCCTTCTGATGTCTGTGAGTAGTTGTCTTCGGGCTCCCGCCTCTTTTAAAACCTCTTGGTTGCTTTTTTCTGGCTGTCCAAGGTATTTTAAGCATTTTTCTGTAAAACCGCATCTATGAGGCCTCAAGAAATTGTTTGGCCTGCCTACCGATTGTCCAGGACTCACAGCCATATGTTAAAACTTGATGTATGTAGCAAGCAAGAAAGCCTTAGCTTTCAAAAAAAAAAAAAAACACACACACACACACACAATCGTTCCATGTTGTCAGCATTAAGGCAGCTTCTTGTCTCACTGAAGGTATTTCCAGCTGTACTAAACAGACGTTCACTTGGTACGCTCGTATGTGGTGCACAAAGTAACGCTTGACAGTATGAACAAAGGTGGGAAATCTTGATATGTTTTTTTCCCACTAGTCAAGAAACGGTTGTAAGGTCACCACTAATCGTATTCGGCCCGACCGCAACAATTCGGCCGAATACCGAATAGTTATTAGGTCCAAGCGAATACGAAGCGAATATTCGGTACAGCCCTAGTTAAAACATCAACGTTTACTATAGAAATAAACAACATCAACAACAACCGTAACATCATTACATAAATAAGGCTGCAAACTATCCCAATATAAATAATAATAATAATATAATAGCACCAGATCCAGCACCGACCAACGTGAGATAATTAATGGATCAAACAGTGGCGACTCAGAGTAATCCCTTTTGCAGAAAGATGCCCGGCAGATAATCTGTTGGACATAGCTTTGTTGGGACAACCAAACAGTCGGGGCACCGGCAGATAATCTGTTGGACATAGCTTTGTTGGGACAACCAAACAGTCGGGGCACCGGCAGATAAGGCGGTAGATAGGTGGACATAGGGACTAACAACCAGGCTCCACGAAAGATGAGCAGATAATCATTTGGTTTTGAGCCGGTGCGGGTTAGATGGTTGTAGACGTGCATATATTATGTCAGTATTGACAGAAGGATTCTCAGAATATCTTGGACAAAAAAGAGGAGAAATACTGACATCTTGAAAGATCTGAACATCGAGGAAGATTGGCTAATAAACAGAATCCTGTCTCGGAAGCTGAAATATTTTGGTCATACCAAGCGCCCCGGCGGATTGGAAAAAATAAAAGCAGAAGGCATGGTACCAGGAAGGAGGGGCAGGGGCCGACCGACACGAAGATGGGCACAGGAAATAAGTGACTCCTTGAGTATGAAAGTACATGAGGCGGGAGAACTGGCGAGATACTGAGTTTCTTTCAGACAGACCGTGATGAGAGCGACCTGCTACTTGATGATTGAGAGAAAGGAAGCGGCTGCCGTGGGGTAGCTGCTGGAGGTTGGTGGATTCGGGTCCTGACAGCGCCTGCTTTGTTTTACAAATTGCCTTTGCTCGCAGGGCGACCCCGCATTATGGGTACTAGTTAACAGTCCTGGAAAGTAAAGGCAGCCGGCAGGACGCTGACCACATGACCCACCAAGTGACGATTCGTCTATATAATAAAGGCTTACCCCTAAATGCACAATATGCCCACAGGCTGGAAAAAGGTCCTTTATTTTACTCTTTTATTGAGAGAAAAAGAAAAATTGGAAACATAACCAACGCTAAAATACAAACAATTAGAGCAACTGAAGCAGTCTGCCCTCTTAGAATGCCTTGCGAAGCCACAACAAAGAGAATAAACACTAAACAAGAAGATGGGCGTAAAGCACAAGGTAGGACAAGAAGTAGATGGAAAGACAATATCAGATAAACTCTACAACAGCACTGTCTGTCTATGGTCAAGTTCGGCTACAATAACATGAAGCAGAACCTTATTTCTCCATTAGCATCAAAGCGGTAAATGAGGATATGAAGAAGAAGATGACTGTGAGAATGAAATGTCAAATATT